TTAATATGTAAAATTTTGTGTAATTAAATTTTTAATTCAAATATATCAAGTTGGTGTATCATGCTTAATGAGATAACCAATAGTATCTATTAATAAAATTAGCATAATGTTACGAATCGGCATAACGTAATGTGTCAGCATAACATATCGAAATTAGTGTAACATATCGAAATTCGTATAACCTACAGATACATTTTGTATCAAACCTTCAGCAAAAATATTTTTTTAATCTTTTTTTTATTAATAAAAAAAATAAAAAACTTAATTTTGTTAAATTTTTTATACTAATTTTTTGTTAAATTAATAAATTATTATGTTATAGATTTTAAAACAATAATAAATAAACTAAATAATAGTAAGTTTAATAGAAATTTTAATAAAATAATATAAATTAATATAAATTAATATTAAATTTACAAATTTATTAAAACATGTGAAATTTAAAAAGAAGGTAAAAAATTTACAATTAAAACAAAAATTTTAAAAATTTATTTTATTTATTTAATAAATGTTTTGTTTTATTTATAAATTATACAAATAATTAATAATTTTATTATAATTTATTTTTTTTTATTAAGATAGAAAATGCCAAAAGAAAAAAAAAAAAAGAAAGAGAAAAAAGAAAAAGACCTACTCCTGATTATATTGTAAGAGAATATGCAGCACCTAAAAATGAAGCTAAAAAAGATAGAAAAAATAGATTAAAAAGGAGAAGACAAGCTAAATATAGACATTACCAAAAAGAACAAGGTATTGCAGGACCTTCAATAAGAACAAGGTCTTAAACTTTTAAAACTTCATTAGATACAAAAGAAAAAACAAAAAAAAGACAACAAGAATATAGAGCTTTTTTGAGTGAAGCAAAAAAAGAAGAAAATAGAAAAGAAAAGAGATAGAGAAAAACATAAAGAAGCATATAAGAAGAAAAAACAAGAACAATTTGAACAATTTTATAAAATAGGATATTGTAGTTTAGATGAATATTAGGATGAGGTTAAAGATAATAATAGAGATAATAATGGAGATGATGATGGAGATGATGATGGGGATGACGATGAAGATGATGATAGAGATAATGGTGGAGATGATAGTAAAGAAGAAGATGATGATGATAACGATGATGATGGGGATGATAAAAAGAACAATGGGGGTATAGTGTGGAGAAAATGGACATTGAATGTGAACATTGTAGAGTATTAAGATAGAAGGAAGAAAAACCAGGACTTTGTTGTATGAATGGTGAAGTTATATTAGACCACTTCAAGCACCATCACCAGAAATTTATTATTTGCTTACAGAAAAAGATCCAATATCTAAAGTACTATTTGTTGACAAAATAAGAGCATATAATCAAGTATTTGCATTTACATTAATTGCTACTAATTTAGATTTGGATGTTGGCAATGAAAAAAAGGGGGCCTATTGCTATAGAATTCAGGGTGATTATTATTATCAAATTAGCTCAGCTTTGCCAGAACAAGAGAAAATACCAAAATTTTCTTAAATATATTTTTATAATTCTTCAAATATCGAAGCACAAATTAATAGAAAACATGATGTAATGAAGCAATCATTAAACAGGGAAATGATAAGTATTATCTAAAATGTATTAATGGATTTAAATCCTTTTGTAGATACTTATATATCTGCAGGAAATGAGGATTTACAAGATCCTCTATATTATATTTTAATATATAATAAGCATGGCAAAGATATGAGACAATATAATATACCATCGGCTAATGAAGTAGCTGCAATTTGTTTTTCTGATGAAACTATGTATATAAGAAATATTCTTATTGTAAGACATAATAATGAATTAGAAAGAATATCTGAATTACATGGTGCATATGATCCTTTAGCATATCCTTTGCTATTACTATGTGAAGAATATAGTTGGCATAAAGAAATATTAAAAAGAAATGAAATTGAATCAGATAATGATAATTATGATGAACCAGATTATTTGTACTGGACTAAACAAAAAATGAAGGCCTATGCAAAAGAAATTGAAGAAAAGAAAAAAAAAAAAAGAGCTCTTAAAAAAAAGATGACTCAACACTCTGAAGCCTCTAAAACTTCTAAAGCTGAAGCTGGAGCAAGTGATATCTCTAATATTGACTTTGATACTTTATTAGAAAGAGAATCACAAAGTGAAACA